CAATGTGCTCTGAGCACCTTTCCTCCACATCCACACTTGGATCTGATGAGTTCAGTTACAAGACATATCCCTGTATGACTTCTGGATAAGCCGAAAAGTACTTTAACATAATCTGTTTGTCCCTAATGATCCTGCGCCCTCATCCTCTATATTTTATTCAGCTCTATGACCTCTTTCCAAATCCTTGACTGTACTTGCAGGGTCTTTGTTTCAAGGTCCAGTGAAAAAGAAAAGTTCCTCAAAGACTAAAAAAAGTTCTATTCTATTCTATCATGCAAGGTAATTCTGGCTTTGTCTTCTTGTTTGTTGGATTTATCTTAAACCAGTTTCCTGAAGCTGGCAAAATAGTTGTAACAATTCCAGGCTTCAGAGTCACATACTTTAGTTCCCTGAGGTGAAAAAGTATCTCTTCTAGTGTCTGTCTCCTGAGAGCAAGTAAATCTCTTTCCCAGAAATCCTCAGAAAAACTCCCATGGCATTTCACTGGCCCATCTATGTATGGTAAAACTGCTCAGTTCTAAGCCAAGCCCTGACAAAAGGAATGCCATGCCCTGACTGATTTAGGAGTTCCTAGGGGAATAAACTAATATAGGCCAATCAGGTCTACTCTGAGGATGGGGCCAGCTATTCCTAAATCCTCAAGTCTGCTCTTGAGGATGGGGCCAGCTATTCCTAATTCACATGGTGGGACAGGATACTTAAGTGATAGTTAAAGAACTGTTAGGATAAATAAAAGAATGGGGCCATATAGGAAATCAGGAACATTCAACATAACCATTAACTAACATTTAATAATAAAAAGTCAGTGGGGTCTGTTCTCAAGTTCTCAAAACTGTGGGTCCTCATGGCAGTAACGACAGCTGCTATATTACAACGTATGTTTCTAAAGATGTCTGCTTACAAAGTATGATTATAGCCCCAGTTTTTGCATGAGGTTTTCTAAACAGAACATGTGGGTATGTGATTTTGAAATAAGACATGACAAAAATGGGGATTTAACCTTACCCAAAATCCCCAAAAGGAAGTCTGTACATAGTATATATTTCATACGCATTTAAAGTTTGAAAACACAAAAATAAAGAACAAATTAGTGTTCTAAGCTTAAAATTAATCCCAATAACATTCCATCCCCACAGATTTCAGTTAAAAACACTCTGAAGTTAAATAGATGGAAAATACTTCATCTAAAGGGAATGTTCCCATAAAAACCACTTAAGTCTTAATTTGTATCAGGGCACCTGGGTGACTCAGTTGGTTAAGCATCTCCCTTCAGCTCAGGTCATGATCCCAGGGTACTGGGATTAAGCCCTGCATCCGACTCCCTGCTCAGCAGGGAGCCTGCTTCTCCCTCTCCTGCTCCCCCTGCTTGTACTCTTGTCAAATAAATTAAATAAAATCTTTACAAAGTCTTAATTTGTACCAAAATTCTCATCTACTTCTCAAATATACTACAAATGAAGAGGGAAGTACACATTTTTGCATTCAATAAGCCAGTTATTTGCCAACTGATTTAATATTTTCAGCTAAAAACTGAGCTTATATTTCAGAATTACTGAGTCCCTTAGAAACTTTTGAGAGGCTAACTGTAGCCTCCTGTCTTCTTGCCTACCATGTAATTTAAAAATAAAGTTCCTTTCAGTGACATCAGTAGAAGCCAAATCTGTAAGAGTTTACTGACCTGTTACACCCTGAATATCATTAGTAGGATTGAACAGTCTTTCAGATGCCACACAGAGACACGGAAAGAAGAAACTGAAAGGGAAACACAAGTGTGAGAGCTGGAAACGAGGAGGAGGCAAAAAATTAGATGAGCCGGATGACTGTATATGAAGCTGTAAGATTCCTATCCCTATTAAACAGTGAACTTGAGGTCTAAGTTTGCCTCCCACCCCACAAAAAGGAAGTTTGGCCCAATAATGTCACATGCCTCATTTTTAATAAGTGTACCAAATTGCATTAGGCATTTTTTCTATCCAAATCAAACAATTTTAAAAATCAAGATAAAACGATTCTTGTGTCAGTCACCCTTACCTTGAGGTCAGGAAACTCTAGAATAGTCAGTGAAATGCTGGCAACAATTCTCATTTCCTTTTTCTTATTCCATACATCCAACATCCCTTGGGATAATTTTAATAGTATGACAAAGCAGGATCTATGTCCTTCAGAAGAGTGACCAATGCATTCTACAGCAGGATGAAAAGAGATATCCAGAAGAAAGCTATGCCTATGACAAAATATTCTGAGTGAAAAGTCAGACATTCAGATAATAGTTCAATGAGATTGTGCATTAAATTTGATCAGACATCTGTTACTTTGTCATTTGGAAACTGTCCTTCCTGATGTAATTTCCCCTGGAGCTGTGTTATCACCTGCCTCTTTTGCCTCCCACGCTGGCTGGTCAAAGAATCCCACTTCCCTGAACACACATTAGATCAGACTGGCTCCATGAAAACTATCATCGCTATTCAGTCCTTTTGAGGAAATGATACAGATCTCAGTGGAAAACTGGTCTCTCTCCTTCGGACACTGGTTAAGAATACGGATAATGGAAGATTGGAGGTGGCAAAGAACATTTTTAGAACACTTAAGACTACAACTAAGAATAAAGCCATTATAGAGGGAAAGCAAAGTCAAAAGAGAAGTGACCTACCTGAACTCAATTTCACTCCCTTGAACTTTTACTCCAGATAATAAAATGCCAGACTGATTTCTAAATTTTGAATAACTGAATTTTCTCTTTTTGACTTGAACACATGGGACTGTATGTTACCAATGTAGAGGTTTTTAGAATTAACATCATAGAGTCCATGGAAGAAACCATGCCTTTCACAGTAAGAAAAACTATCATGTCTTCAATTAGCTAATCAAACATTTCACTTTTACAGGTCTATTATTTTGACTCCTCCGCATAGGGGAAAAAAATTGTAAAGCAATCTTTTATACCATGTTCCTGTCAGTTTTATCAAAAAAAAAAAAAATCAGGAGAAAAGTTACTGTGAGGATTAAATGAGCTAACATAAGTATACAGAATAATGCCTATTAGTAAGTACTCAATACATGTTAGCTTTTTAGAATAAATTAAGTGGATAATTAATAAGCTTCTTAACACCCAAAATACAAAGCATAGGTTAACTTCTAATTGACTGGACACTTCAGGAAAACCCTCTCCTTAATAAGAAAAGCTAGAAAAAAATGTTTAATAACCTTATTAGAACCTAGCACCACTGTTTTAAACATATATTATGTTCTATTTCTATCCAAAACAGATGAAGTGGCTTCCTTGGAAACACCAAATTGATAAAAATATGGAAACTTGCTCCATCAATTGCTACTTTTGTCCTCTTGGGCAAGTTTAATCTCTCTGGGCCTATCTCATCTATAAAAATAGGAAGTGGGATGTTATAGGAGGATGAAATTAGTAATGGAAGCACAAAGTACCTTTAACTGTTCAATATGATTTACAATTTTTTATTAGTATTACTATTATTTCAAGAAAATGACTTATTTCTTAAAATAACATTTTTGGTGATTTCACTACAGCTTAGAAGTTTTCAGTTTAAAAGGCATGGGGAAAAAAAAACCCTTAGCTATTAACTTCTATAACTTTCTGATGAACACAAACATCAGTGAAGTGACTTCACCAATATCACCGTTTTCAGTCTAACTGAAGGCAATGCAACTAGAACCCAGGTTCCCTATCACCTAGCGAAATGTTACTTCTTCTCTACCACACTGTATGTATTTAAAATAAATCCTTAGGCTTTATTTTTGAAACAGGTAAATAAAACTACTGATTATGAGTGCATGGAAAAAATATTCTAAATGCCAGGGAGAATATAAAAGCAGTAAACTGATAGTTTTAAGTATCTTTCAAGAGTGAAGTTCCTGCATTCCCCTTTTCAGACCAATACACATTAAATACAAAATTGTGATCATGATTTGGTACAGACTGCAAAGTAAATAGGACACTATGAAAAAAGTGGTCATATACTTAAATACCCCAAATGTTTAAATATTCAACTTAATAAAAGCCAAAATTCAGGTATAACTCAAGACACTGAAATGCAAAAAAGTCTTTCATAAACTATATTCTTGTGTGGCCCTTTATTTTATATAGCTTGTTACTATTGGGAAGGATTGATGGATAACTTAAAACTATGTACCTGTAAGAGATTAATTTAAAAGTATATTTTAAAAGTAAAATAGAAAAACATCTTTAAAATGGTCCACTTATTGAAGATGAAAACAACAAAAAACCTGAAATAAGAAAACAATCCTGTGACCAGAGTAGATCCAAAAATGTTATCAAAATAAATATTTAACCAAATATCAACATAATTCCATCAAGTGCCATTAGTTCTTATATTCAAAATAGAACTAGGCTTTTAACATAATTGGCCTAGGACAATCATTTCTGCTAAACTATGCAAAAAAAGGGGTGGGGGAACCAGGGTTCCTACAATTCCTAAACACAAAAATAGTAAAAAGTTATTTTATGTCCACTAATGCGTAAGAAAACAAACTTGCATCCAGACAAGAAAGAAGTACAACAGGTTAAGTGTCAATCTTTACCAATTTATTTTATACAAAACAGTAGCAATGTAGAATATGGGAATTATCTTCCGCTGCCACACACGCAAGTTGTGAACATTCCAAGCCAATGTATACAGTTTGGAGGGGAAGGCTAAATGACAGCATCAACCATGCTACTGAACATAGGAATTTTTTATTTAAAAAGATTAAAAATTAGATAGCAATGTCTTCTTAATATTGCTCTCATCATTGAAGACCGAAGAAAAATAAAAAGTGACTTTTTAAGATTAAAAAAAGAGGGAAAGGGAGAAACAAAGAGGCTGCTACAACACTGCCATACTGTCAAACCATCATACTTCAATATTTGCATACTTGATAGCAGCATTATTTTTACTGAACCGTGTGCAACTACATTTAGAAACACATCAAAGCAAAATATCATGGCAGTCATCAATCAAGATCCAAAAAAAAGAAAACAAACAAAAAATAACTCTAGGATGAACACACTATAAGTAGATGAACATTTATGGAGAATGAATCAATATCTACATTCTTGGACTGTTCCATTCTGCTCCAATAAAAGTGTCAACTCAAATTGTCAACTGTGCATTTTTGGAGGATTTGAGTTTTTCCAGTTCTTATTATACTGCATGCTTGGAACAAAGAGGGATTTAATTAACCCTTCTACACAATGAACTTTAAGTAGACCGCTGAAAATAAATTTACTACTTGTAAACACACACACACACACAAAAAAAATACAAGATTTTTTTATCTTTAAACAATCAGTGCTTCCAAAAGCGCATTATCTTCTATATCGACCTCTCTCCCCTCGGTCTCTGTCCCGGTCACATAATCGCTCTCTTTCTCTTTCTCTATCACGTCCTCTATCTCGTTCTCTGTCTCTTCTGTTATCTCTAGGGCGGTCTCGCTCTCGCTCCCGATCTCTTTCACGGGGTCTACTTCTCCGACCACTGACAACAGCTTGTGTGCGACGAAGGAAATCATCCACCCTCATGTCATAATCATGCTAGAAAAGGTAAGAAATGGGTTAGGTATGTCAAAAAAAAAAAAAAGGAATTTATGGTCCCTATATTGTAATTCCTGTACGGTAGAGAAAAAAATCTAGAGAAATGCATTAATGGATTAATTCACAAAATGCAATTTTGATACTGCTTAGAAAAAGGATTTTAATGTCTTACTAGACACCTACGACAGAAATTATTCAAATCCTGTTGAAACTCACTTTGTGCAGTTTGCTATAAAACTTCAATGACTTTTCCATCTAACCTTTTTGATAAGATTCAGGCCAAAGTAATCACCTAGTGATGATTATCAATGATCATAGATACAAGCCTGATGCCAACTATGCTAAGTATCACCAATGTTTTTCTGCAATAGGTGAACCCTATTTTTTTCCTTGATTCTACAAACTAACCTGAACCAAGTCTGCCCTCTTATAGTAAAATGAGGAATTCTTACATTCCGAATTTTCTTTCAAACTAAACCAGTTAATGACAACTTATGAAATAGGACGTGATTTTAAGAAAATACTTTAGTAAGATTGTTAAGTCTACTCCACACAGATCTAGTAATACATAAAAGGCTGAGGAGGATGAGAGAGGGTAAGATGAGCAACTGTCCAAGTTGTCACTGTGGCTACTTATAAGCTTGCTCCCTGCTCTAGCTTTCTACTCTTGGTTCTCAACTCACCTTTACTTACTGAACTTGGTCTTTCTTCAAGTAGGCTCAAATATTCAGAACATAAGGTTCAAAACCACAGTTCCACCCTACCTCTCACATACAATGAATACATGAATATATTAGCATAAAATATATCACTAACCAAAAAATTACATAAAAAGGACAAGTACCCTTCAGTAAAAGAATCTTAGAATTCCTGTTTTGAAAATTATGTAATCATTTTATAACACCACAACTCAGGATGCCTGGGTGGCTCAGCTGGTTAAGCATCTGCCTTCAGCGCAGATCATGATCCCAGGGTCCTGGGATCAAGTCCCACATCAGGCTCCTTGCTCAGCAGGGAGCCTGCCTCTCCCCCTGCTTGTGTACTCATTCTCTGTCTCTCTCCGAGAAATAAATAAATCTTTAAAAAAACAAAAACACCACAACTCATCTTAGCCAACTAAGATTTCATCATACATAGGCTGTGGCTGTGTATTTCTTCCTGTGTGACTGAAAAAAAAAAAAAAAGTCTATTAGTCAATTAGGATTCTCAAATTGTTTCATGGAATATTAAAGATCCTAAAATGATTTGATTTTGAAGAATTAGTATCTTTATGAGAATAAGAAAATAATTAACATAAAAGTATCTCAAAGATAGGCTGGGCTACTTTTGACTGGCCCTCTCAAATATGCATGCTCTTATTTATTTGGCCCAGCCAAAAAACTCATGTCAAGTACGGGGGCGAGAAGGAGGTCGGGGATGTCCAAACTGTACATCCTACTTCAACAACCAAACTACCTAAGACTATCAAATTTATACACAAAGGAATTATAATAACAAGTACAAGGAGACAATTTCAGTTTAAAAAAATAAAAGTACTATTAGAGGGGAAAAAAGAATTATCAACCATTTAATAAACAATCTCTAACTAGTATAATGAAAACCCAGAAATCTCCAACTAGAGATTGCCTTTCATTCATTCTGTTTTGAAGTTATCAAAAAAAGCTTCCCATATCAACCATTATCAAATTATTAGAACCAATAATTACTAAAGGACAATTACTCATCTGCCTTTCTTAACATCTGTTTATCATTTGTTAGCATCGTCTTAAGAATCAGACAGAGGAGGTGAATTGACAAAATCTGGCAGAGAAACAAATAACTAAATGAGACTACAGATGACCTGTTAAGTAACTTAATACACACCATCTATACTATGAAAACTAAGTCCGAATATACAGAAAGCTTAGAAACACCTATTTGCAATAATAATTAGTTATAATTGAAGACCCCTGTACAGAAAGAAAATATCCTAATTACGATATCCCTATGACATTACCTAAGAGTTACAAGTAGAACTTGCCTCAACTTGAGCAGTCTGCTTGATCAGTGAAAAGAAATACTGTCTATTTAAATAATCCAAAGGGATTAGCCATTTTTAGTTAAAACAAGTTGTGAATTACTTCAAAACAGCATTCAGTAAGAATATGAAACAGACCACCACTCAACATAATCTAGTATCCCCACATTTAATTATCAACAGAATTCAAAGTAGTTCCCTCACACTTGAGCCGTCTCGTGCACTTACTACTCGTTTATCTCTGTATCTTGCTTCATGTGGTACTGGGTGATGTCCTGAGTAAGGGGGATGAGCTTGAGGAGGTGGAGCATGGTGTTGATAGTAAGGATGGTGTGGAGGTTGTTCCATTCCAGGATAAGGAGCCTAAAAAAAGAAAACCACTTCCATAAACATCTACCAAATATCCGTGTAAATAAACCATTCTTAGAATTTCCCTATACAAACCACCTATCCCAATTAATTTAATAATCTGTACAATCCATTTACTTTGACATTAAGGTTCTTCAAAATACCCTTTATGTGCTTGTTGAAAATATGTGCGTAATGAAGTAATTATATATCCTTTAAGATTTTAAATACTAATAGAACACAACAAACCATTACACAGTGTTTACAATGAACGAGGCACTGTCCTAAGCACTTTACACATCTTATTTCTCACAGCAACCCAATGAAATAGGTACTGGTATTCCTAGTATACAAAAGAGGAAACTGAGCCACCAACTGGTTAAGTAACTTGCTTAAAATCACTGCTAGTAAAAAGGTGGATCTGGGACATAGCATCAGGCACCCTGGCTCTAGGATCAATCATTAACCACTATGCAAACATCTACCCTTAAAAAATAAAAAGACCTCCAGGACCTACTGAATTTTTAAATGCCATTATAAAATGAGTTAAGGGCAAATTAAAGATTACTTTCCTAGTTAGTGCCAAGATAATATTCTGACTTTTTAAAAATTTCACAGAATCTAAAGGAAAGCAATCTTATAATTCATCTATCTGTATACAGTACCTTAAGTGAAATAAGTCAGATGAAGAGGCCACATTACAGGCAGCATTTAAAAAAAAAAAAAAGATAAACAATAAGAACTACTTAAACTTCCAAGTTTTTTATTTCTCAGGAATTAATGCTTCGGCTATCCTCAATACCTTAAAAGATACTCTAAGAATATTCAGTTTTCTTACAGAAAGAAAAAAAAAACTAAAAATCATGCACAAGACAAAAAATTATGCACAGGATTTAATTACCTTAATTTTTTAAAAGATTTTATTTATTTATTTTAGAGATAGAGAGCACAAACAGGAGGGAGAGAGGGGGAGAGAATCTCAAGCAAACTCCATGCTGGAGCATGGAGCCTGATGTGGGGCTCGATCCCATGACCTGAGCAGAAAAAAAGAATCAGACGCCTAACCGACTGCACCACCCAGGGGCCCCTAACCTTATTTTAGAAAGAATTTACTGAGTATTGGGATCAAGCACTATGCTAAACTTTACATATATTTTGTAAACTATCTTCTCCACACTCCCATTAGGTCAACATTGATATTCATTAAATTTCAAACCATACAAAGACAGACACAATGTCCATTTCATTCACCAACCCAGCGTAAAGCGGAGTGCCTTGCACAGAATGGGTACTAAGTATTAATTTGATGAGCCAAAGAATGAACAAATGCCCATTGAGTTTTACAGATAAGGAAAACTAAGAAACTTGTCCAAGGTCACAGAGTTGAGAAGGGAACGCATTTGAACCCAGGCAGTTTACAATACTAGCCACTACAGTAATAAACCATAACACTTAAACTTGCATTAACACAAATCAAATTATTCATTAGTCTTTAGTTCTAAAAAGAGCCCCCCAACTATTTAGATTTATATTTTAAGTCTCTTAATGGGTAACTGCAACAATCACATTCCAAATAAGCATTCAAAATATATGGAACTGCGAATGAAATTAAATAATTTGCAAAAAAAGAATACAAACCATTCCTTGCCAAGGTGGTGGTGGTCCCATGTTATGAAATTCCCTCACATAATCATTGTAGGACTAAAATGAAAAATATTAATGTCAATAATAAAAATCAAACCCGAACTATAAAGTAAATCAGATCCTGGTTTTATGAACATTAAATATATAAAATAAAATACTTACCCCATTTAAAAACACATCTCGGCGAACTCCTGAAAATCGTCTGTTGGGAATAAGATTTGTGAAACTAAATTCAGGTAATTCATAAACTAGTTCCAAGAATGTAATTTAAAGCTAAGCAAGAGTGAACCCAACTTACCTGTCTACTTCCTGGTATCGTGGATCCTTTAAATACCCTGTTCAAACATCAAGCATTTTAGTAAATCAAATTTATATTTTTTATTATGGCATTATAATTAAATCTTCCTTACCACTCATTTCAATTCTTCCCATGAAATATAGTGATGCTATTAAGTGATGCTATTATTGTATCACTCCATTTTCAGATTTTCTTCTCAGATTACATGATAATCTAGGAAGTAACTAAATAACTTACTGATATCACAGAATTATAAACTGCTAGAGAGGTTTTCATATGAATCTTCTAAAATCCACACCCCAATTCTCGCTAGATAGAAAATTTCTTCATTCTGCACCATAAGGAAAGTAAGGGCAGAGGAATTATCTTGAGGACACTGGTAACAGGACTTCCTTAAAACAAATGTTTACCTTCCATCTTAGGTATACACAAGCTTTGCTAAGTCAACCGGATAGTTTTAAAAAATGCAAACTTAAGAGGGAGAAAAAAAAACTGTAAAAGTCACAAAAATGAAGATTATACATTTTAAGTGAAAGAACCATGGTGAAAAAAGAAATATTCTTTCTCCCCTTCTTTAGTAGGGACTTAGCAAATTAAAATGTAAAAACATTTGTGTGGCCATGTTACTGAGGAAAAACTAATTTCACTCTCTGGAATATCCCACTTTGGAAAAGAATGAGGTTTATCAAGCCACTTGTTATGTAAAAATGCTGTAATGCTAACACCAATTTTCAAATTGCCTAATTTTTGTAAGTATTACTGTTTTAAATAAGTATCTTCTCTTAAATAGAGTTTGCCTTTTTTAATTGGTAAGGGAAAGACTAGCTGAAAAGATGCTATGGAGATTAAAACCAAGTATTTCTCATTCCTCTCTAAAAACATGATGTTAAAGATTTTTATTTAGAAAATATCGTATAACTTCAGTGTCTAATCAAAGTTATATACCACATAAGATATTAAGTATAACAGGAAATAAAAAACATAATAAAGTGTAAGATCACTGCTTTCCCTAACCACTTTTTAATCTTAAAACATTTGTGCAGTTTCCAGGGTGAAATAATTATAAATTAGCAACATCGGGTAATTAACAGATTATGATAATGAGTCACACTAAAATAGCCTTCACAAAGTAGAAGAATTTAAGTGACAACTACTGATAATTTCCTATGGTTTAAGGAGTCACATCCTAAAGTTTTCTCACTTTTAGAACTATAGGATTATAAAAATGTTTCTGTGTTGTTGTTGTTGTTGTTTCATAATTTTAAGTCAAATATCTGCAGGATTATAAAATATTAACCTGGTCTCTGGTGAAACTCAGGGGCATAGTCAATCCTTGGTTTCTTTCTGCTGTTATGAATATCATAATCTTCTGGTCGACGCCTACACAAATTAGACACATTAGAAATTAAACCAAAAACTGCTGGTAGAACAAACAGCAATGCAAGAGTTTCTGACAGAAGTACAAAGAATAGCCCATTATTTCCTTTAAAATAACATCCTAATTTCTGGTGAACAAATCTTAAAATTTCTAAATTTTAATCCCTCTAATTATTATAAATCAATCCTTGAATGTATTGCTGGAAATAGATATTCTCTGTAATCCTCATACTATGACGAAAAACTTGGAAAGAGTAGTCTGCTCAAAATATGTAAATCAAATTTTAGTATTCTAAACAAAAGTAAATGAGCGGCCCTCAAACTAATGTAAATATCAGGTTTAACAAAACACTTTCCCAAATAAAGTCTCCATTCAGGTGAAAAAGCAAGGAAATAAAAAATAACTATCATCATTACACACAACACGTTAACTCTAAAATCTATATATTCAAAGTTATTAGAAGAAGTCTAAACAAAATTAAGAATGTCTTATTTCTTTTTGCTTTGCACAAAATTATGCTTTTCACATGATCATACAGAAAATTTGATACGTAGTAAGTGACTTTACAGGAAAGTTTTGAAACTCTTGATACTTTGAAAAACTAATTTCTATAGTTAATAACATTTAGAGTTAAGGGAATTTTTTTCTAGAGACAATGCCTTAAAATAAAACTGTAACGTAATGGGGCAGTTTTAACAGAGTTCATAAAACAATTTCAAAGTATATTGTTTAGAAGGTAAAATTTTACTGTCTACAGAGGGCTGCTCTTTACGATCTCCCATAAATCTCAATGGTTAATGTAATACATCATAAATACACTTCATTTTATTTAGCATTTGATAAAGAACTACACAAAAACAAAAATTCCAAGTTTTTTTGGTAATAAATATCTTTTTACCTTTTATGTCAAATAAAAATTCTATAATAACCTGGCATCACTAGTTTTCCAGCTATTTCTTTATCAACTGCTTTCATTAACTTTTCCAACACAAGTTCACTCAAACTGCAAAGTGCAATAACCCCAAGCCCCCCAACAAAATAAAAACAGTTGCATCTACAATAAATAAGACTAAGAAAATGAAAAGCTGGTTTAAAAAATAAACATACCGCTTTCTTGTAGTTTGGGGAGTGCATTTACGACCGGTATAAAACATGATAGTAACAGTTCATATAGTAGTCCAACTACTGACTTTAAGCTGTAAGCCACATACATATATGGAGGCCCTGGCAGGCTTGAGAGAAGGTGTAGTGGTGTAATAAGTATAGTTTGCAGTCCATTGCAAAACTGAGGTAAAAACTTCACTTGTATATATTGTATTGCACTGGAAACCTCTTAGCTTAAAACTTCAAAAGACATCTTGGTGTTCAGTCCTTTAAGGCCAAAAATAAGGGGGCTCTGCCAGGTTTCCTCCTACCTACTCGACAGTGTCCTTTTTAAGCTCAAAGAAATGGGGACTCTTGTTGGATTATCTGTACCTACCACAGGATGTTTCCATCAAAAGGAAACTTAACCAAAGGTTTCATCCCATCAACCATACATCCAACAGTCTTTAGCAGAATATTTTAGGTTTAGCTGTATGCAAATCTACACAGGGAAAGGTGTTGGGTAGAAGGGCTTAAATCAGTCCTTTGCAAAGACTTCTCCAATTCTGTAACAAGTTAAACCCCCTTTTCCTGGAAAATGCTGCTTAGTTCATAAAGTAGTGATCAATAACCATGGCGATCCTCTAAAAAACACTTTAAGTCCACAGGTACTGCCAGCATCTGGAAAAGTTGTAAACAGACACAGCAACAGCCCTTCTTTTCGGTTTGTTGCCGGGTCTCCCAGGGCCACTTGATCCCCTTTGGAAAGAACCTATTGTTTTCAGAAGCTCAGCAAGATGTGTGAATTCACTGGGTACATGTTAGAGAATATTTGGCAATGGGGTTAACACATCACGGTGGTAAAATTTGAAACAGTCCCAATAATGCTCCTCTTGAATATCAAAATAACTTAAAATATTTTATCCTCTAAATGAGGCGTCATCTTCAGAAAAAACATTAGTGATCCTTTATAAAAGTCCCATATCTGATAAGGCTTATCCAGAGACACACCTGAAAGAAAAGGCTTTTTACAAAATATTAACAATTTTCACAAATAAAGACTTCCTCCTCTTCCTCCTTTCTAGCCTGTTCTTAGCAACAAAGGCCTACCTCATTTCAATTGTATACATTGTATAATCAGAATATTATCTAATTTAAACTGGTTATCACTCTTTAGCAAATAATTTTTTTTCTGCATAAGGAAAGATCCCCATTTTCCTCTTGAAAAATGACTGAGACCAAGGTGACCATGTGAAATCCTCAATGAAGCCACAAACTAGTCCATGCAGCTTGATTTGAGGATTTTCTCTTTCTTCTTTACCGCAGGACAAACTTTTGACGAATCACATTCCTCCATCATGTTATTCTGATACATGTGCCTATTATCAGTCCAAAGAACGTTTCTAACCTTCCCACATCCCGGACTGGTTCTCGACGGGATGGACGTCCTCTTGATCGGGGCTGAGAATGCATTCTTCTCTTGTGACGCATTTTATGAATGACCTGATACAAGTCAATACTTTCATCGGGGGGAAATAGAAGACAAAGCTGGGTTCCACATTCAAGTTCAATTTCCTAGAATAGGAAAGTAGCAATTTACAAGACGAAAACAGGAGAAACTTTCAATAGACTTGTTGTATTTTCCTGAAGTACAAGAACAAAAACTGACTTGGAGACTTCCTTCTCAAGGCTGATGATCATATGGGATTCCAAAAACTTCCTTGATATTTTTTATCCTTATATAAAGGGTAAAAACTGAAAGTGTAGAATCTCCAAAGTTTAACACACCAATGCAGTTGCTTAAAACTGTGACAATGGTCCTCTACAAACAAAGGAATATTTCTTTGTGCAAAATACAAAAATATCAGAACAGGGTATCTACCTTAACTCAGCGGAGGAAAAACATGTTAGTGTGTGCCAACAACTTTATGATAATCAGGAACTGCAACATACACTAAAATACATGAGATTAACTACAAAGAGATACTGATGTATGGACTTTTTAAAATGAGTTTTTATTTTCAACTACCAACAGTTTCATTTATGAGCAATCAAAGCACACCACCTGTGGTTCAAAGCAATGTGTAGAAACTATGGGGGTCAAAGATTTGGGTTTATTTTAAACCACCACACTTTTAATTTCATTTGCAGACTTGAAAACCTGGGTACATATACTTTCATACAGCTTCCTTCTATTCAGAAAACTTGAATGAAAATGTTATAATGGCACTTCGAAAATTATACAAAGTGCAATAATAATACAATGAAAAACAATTTAAAATCAGGACCAGAATTTCTCTTCAGAAAGTTTTCTTTCAATTGTATTAATGAAAACACCATATAAAGATGCCTGTCTTTCAACATTTATGGAGGTCTTACCAAACGGTCAAAATCACAGTAATCATGAATTCCAAATAAGAGTATTTTCCCTTAATCTATCACATGAATTCTTTCAAAAATGGCTTAGAAATGCCCTTCGATAAAAATATCTAAAAGGACTGATTAAATGTGTGTGTTTTAAATAATCAATTAAAACAACAAACCTGTCCATCACGTCCAATCTTTACCGGTTTATGTTCATTCCAAGGATTGGTGAGATGAGCTGACTTAGTGAAGGGTAATTCACGCCTAAATACAAAGTAATGTCAATTATATTCTTTTGCAGAATCCTTTAGGGACCTTAAACTATGCTTCAGCAATTAATCTTGATTTAAATGTGACTAAAATTTAAAGAATCACTTAGACTAGTAGCATTTATTCCCCAGGGAAGGAGCCCCTTTAGACATGTGTTCTTTCCACATTCTCCAGTGTTCTCAAAAAAAAAAGCTAAATAATATAATGCTTAAGAACATGAGCTTAGAAACCAAGACAGTTTGGGTTTAAATCCCAGCTCTCTCTTAACTTTTCTCTGAGCCCGAGTTTCTTCAGCTTATAAACAAGGGTATCACTACCTACACTTCATACTTGTTCTAAATAGTGTGCAAAACGATATATAAAATGTTTAGCCATCTCTTGCTCTGTGTACTCAAAAAATTGTTTTTATTAACTAATCAAGAGCTGAACTTTAATCAGACAGTTGATACCAAATTAAAGTAAGTGTTCTCTATCCTTGGTTCAGGGCGGCTCTCCCAGATTCAAATGTCACCGCCCCCTTTTTCTAAATAAATCTTTTATTTGAGAGAGAGAGAGTTCGAGCATGGGGGGTGGGGGAACAGTGGGATAAGCAGGGAGCCTGACTCAGGCTTGAGCAAACGATCCTGAGATCATGACCTGTGCCGAAGGCAGACGCTTAACTGATTGAGCCACCCAGGCACCCCAGTTCTCCCCCTTTCAATAAGGCAGTATTCCCTACCACCCATGGAATGGCTCTTGACAATATGAATATTTACTTAGAAATTCATCTATCTGCACACATTAATTATGCCCTTCACTTACATTATAGTGCAGTACCTATATAACTTAAACCCTGGCTCTAAACTCTGAGCTACTGGGCAATTTGGTCTCACCAACATAAAAAAGATACCCTATATTTTTTATATTCTTTATCAACCTAGCACAATGCTGAATGTAAACATAACATGTTAATTGTCAAGGAATAATCAAATTAACAGCATTTGATAAGGTTTTATCTATGTGTGCATAAAGTAATGCCAAACTAAATAAATGCTTTAAGGAACTATTTACTGTTATCGACGATACATGAAACCGCTCAGCCCAAAGACATATAAATTTTCTTCCACAGCTATCAAAAAAGAACAAATGAGCACACACAATTATTTTGGTAAAAGAATGGGTACCACAAATAGACAAGTTTTGTTGTTTTTAATATGGATGGCCATATCTATTTTAGAGAAAGAAAATAATCAAAAACTGCTTCCTGGAAGTAGCATATCCCATATGCTCAAAGAAAAGTGACCCAAGAAAAGCCAAATGTTAGAGGAGTTAAGGAAGAGTTACATTTGAAGCAATGAGAGAGCTTGTGCAAAGGTATAATGAAGAAAAAAACACAAACAAGTAACTTGATCCAGTGGATAAGCTACATAACCATTTATTCTAATCTTACACGAATTTTCTTAAAGATGAATATAGAATGCTCAAATTTTATAACTTCCTTAAACCTTGGAAAAAAAGAAATGTATAGCTAAAGTCAAAGTAACAGGTGGCATGCTCTGTGGTGATGGTGATGTGAACATACAGGGGAAGTGGCCTATGAGGAATGGAAATGCCTACTAGATATTACTTTTTAAAAAGCTTGAATTCTTAGTGTAATATTGATCTTCACAAATCAAGAGTGGTTCAAGAATGTATACATACACATATACAAAATATATACACACGCTTTTTTTTTTTTTTAAACTTTTCAGGCTATCAGAAGTTAAAAGAAAAAAAGACTATACTAACAAGCCTATACCGAAGTCTACAGAGTATCTAGAGGGAAATCTCTAGTTAACAATTCTTCGTACTTTAATACTTCCTTAGATTATCCCTCTAAACTGCCAGTTAAAAAACAGTTATAGGAAAGGAATAACCTACAATCCACCAAAATATAGGAAAATTACAGAGTATTACTGCAAAGTTATCACTGTTATTTAAATATTAGCAATGGAATACTGAAGGTCCAAAATAAAACCATACGTTGAGCTGGTTGAGTCAGTTGGGGTTAATCTTCTTAGGTGGCATTGGTTCTAATTAGCTGGATTCTAGAGGTATTTTTCTGTGTTGACAAATTAAGCTCTACCAAGATATCAACCAAGAACTGAGGCCCTAGGCAAAACAGGACTCAGAATACGTTAAGAGAAACTGCAGGACTATGGTCATCACAACTAGAGAATAAGCATCCTAAAAATTACCTTTTGAACAGACATATGTAATGATGAAGCCCTAGCTTTACTGTGAGTACTCTAGAGAACATGAAAGTAACTCATTGATTTAAGGAGCCTGGTTAAGTGGGGGCAAATTTAACAAAAGAACATACATTCTTATGTACTGGATAGTGTTAGATTCTTAAAAGGTAAAAGGAGTAATGAAAAAATTCTAGAAGAAAAGAGAAAATGGGTTATCTAGAATGGACATTAAAGGGGTGACTATAAAATACCATCAGTTTATTTAATTCTGGATGAATAACATTTCATAGAATATAGCCTTATTTTAAATTAACTCCCAGTGACAACTTAAGTCACTTTTTGCGGCTCCTCTCCTATCTGCTAACATGCACCATGTGGTCGTGAACTTCAGTGTGTCTAACAAAATACCTGAGCCATCAGAAATTCATCAGTTTGGGGTGTGTCTCAAGATTCTACATTTTAACAATCAGATACTACTGATGCAAGTAATCTAGACACCACACCCAAAGATACTTTTGTCTAATTATTATTAAATCCAACGGGTGCTTAAACAAGTCTATCATAACTATTGTATCTGAAAAGAAAAGTACTAATAGCAGTTACAGCAATTAAAGCCTTAGTTGTTTATAAAGTTTGATACTTTTAACTCTGAGTCAAATATAATTCTCATTTTATAATGAAAATTTAAGAGTACAAGAGATTTACCCCAAGGAAAATACCAATGTAATAAATATTACAAGCCCCTCAGAACTCTTAAGTATTATAGGGCGCCTGGGTGGCTCAGTCGTTAAGCGTCTGCCTTCAGCTCAGGTCATGATCCCAGGGTCCTGGGATCGAGTCCCACATCGGGCTCCCTGCTCGGCGGGAGGCCTGCTTCTCCCTCTCCAATGTAATAAATATTACAAGCCCCTCAGAACTCTTAAGTATTATAGGGCGCCTGGGTGGCTCAGTCGTTAAGCGTCTGCCTTCAGCTCAGGTCATGATCCCAGGAGTATTTTCAAAATTAAAGTTATATATATAAAAAAATTAAAGTTATAATTTTATTTAAGAATATTTTTTCAGAAGGCACCTAGGCGGTTAAGCATCTGACTTTGGCTCAGGGTCCTGGGATCAAGTCTGGTGTCTGGGCTCCCTGCTCAGCAGGGAGTCTGCTTCTCCCTCTCCCTCTACCCCGCCCCCTGCTTATGTGTGTGTGCTCCCTCTCTCAAATAAATAATCTTTAAAAAAAAAAAAAATTCGTTCAGAGCACGGGGTGGCACAACAGTCAGTTAAGCACCCCACTCTTGCTTTCGGCTCAGGTCATGACCTCAGAGTAGTGAAATCAAGCCCCTTGTCAGCCTCTATGCTCAGCGCAGAATCTACCTGAGAGTCTCTCTCCCCCCTCCCCCTCCCACTTGTGCGTGCTCTCTCTCTCTCAAATAAATCAATCTTTAAAAAAAAAAAAAGGATATTCTTTCCAGATAAACCTAAACTTAAAGAAACTTTACTACCCAAAATTTTGTACAAAATGTTAGTAGGATCAACTTTTGGGTTTGTACCTCTTCTGTTGCTGTATGCATTTTAAACAAGTTAATAAAATAGACAATAAGTCAATGAAAAGGAATAGGAAAGCAGTAATATATGAACAAATTAAGCTCACCTTCTGAAATAAATTTCCTTATCAAGAATTTGGAAATGAAGATTAATAGAACAAGTAACATTCAAAACAAAATTTGCAGCAACAAGTCTGAAACTGGGCAATTATTTTGTCTCCTAATCCTAGGACAACATCATCTCCAAATATTTTCCAGTAACACCAATGTTTCTAATCATAAAACCATAGACTAACAAACTTCTTGGGCCTTTACAGTTATAGTCATCCAAATAAGTCAGTCAGTCAATCTCTGCTAAAAAACAGTAAGCACCTTGTTTTCCCTATAAAGTGCCACCAGATTTTTAAATTTTATAATTTTAATTTGATTATAATTTAAGTGTAACTTATTATAACCTTAATTTCTGAACAGCTGTAAATTTATATTTTAAAACCCTGGGTGCAATGGAGTAGGGGGATATCACCTACAATCTTAAAGATTATTTATTTGAGAGAGGGAGCACACACACATTCTGCATTCCCACATTATAATTATGTAATTTTTTTATTTGTTATGTTTTTCCATGTTGTTACATGGATAATTCTGCATACTGCATTTAAGTGACAAACCATAATTTAACCAATTTCCTATATGGAAGAATTTAGTTTGCTTCTAATTCTTCCCTATAGAAAGTAATGATGGTGTGAGGAATAATGATACATTTTCACGCAGACAGCTTTTTGCAACAGTATCACCAATCAACCTAATGCACTATTTTTAACTATATAGTTGCCCATGTATCTTCATAGTCTTTCACTGTCCCCTAAGTAAAAGTTTAAACTCCTTAGGCTGGCCCACATTATTGTTCATCTTTGTCTTTTGTTCTCTTTATCATCTGCTTCATAAAAAAAGGTGGCTCCCTATCCCACTCACATACCCCCCCCACCCTCCCACCTCCTCAGCCCAATGGTTTGTGTTTCCATGCTCTTCCTTCTGCTAGTTTGCCTTCCAGAACATGAATAATATTTTTCATTCTACATCTCCATCAAAATCTAACACCTAAGCTAACTTTAACTTACAAAAAATACATATGGTCTGTTTCAGGTAATTTTTTTTTTTACTGAAATTAATTTTATAGGCAATAGATGTGTGCATGTCATTATAAAGTTCACTCAAATAATTAGCTTTTTATGTTAAAATAACTTTCTAGGTCCAAGATGTAACTACTCGTGCCCAAGGAGCCATGCCAGCAAACTGAAGCTTAGATTTAACTTTTGTATCCCTGTATGTGCTTGGCTCGACCAGAAATGCAGTATATCCAATCAGCCAATCCCCAAACACCAAGCCACCCCAGTATGGGCTTTTTCATCCCAAACAAGGTTGACAACTTAGCCCTATCCAACCATTTTCTATTTTGTCTCTTCCTTGTTCTTTATTCTTTATCCTATAAAAGCTTTCTGCCTTCTGCCCCATTCTGCAGTTCTCCACAGGACACTGACCATTTCATGAAGTGTTAAATAAAGTCTGTATCACCTAAATTTACTTCTTTAATCATTTTTTAACATTGCACAATCATTCAGTAAGAACACAAAAATAGTGGTAATAACTCGGTGCTCAAAATGAGTCAATTTTTCTAATAAACAAATTTAAATCTTGATCACATCAGTTTCAAAACATCATAATGCCAACTAAACATGATTTGCTAACTTTCTTAAGAAATAATAGCTGCTGGGGTGCCTGGGTGGCTCAGTCGTTGAGTGTCTGCCTTCAGCTCAGGTCAGGATCCCAGAGTGCTGGGATTGAGCCCTGCATCAGGCTCCCTGCTCGGCGGGAGGCCTGCTTCTCCCTCTCCCCCTGCTTGTGTCCCCTCTCTTGCGCTCTGTCAAATAAATAAATATTTTTTTTAAAAAAAGAAATAGTTGTTCACAACTAAATTAGTCACTTCCACAATGTTAGCCAAGTTAAAGAGTGACTACTAATTTCCTATTCCAGTTACTAAATGACGTAATTCACTAAAATAATACAGATCTATCCAGGTAACATTTCAAGCAATTGTCTAATTCATGACAAACTTACTACTGTATTACTAATACAGAGAACAAATGAAATAAATAAAGCTCTCGACTAAATAAACCTTTGCCCTTTACATCATGTATTTATGAAGACAGTGAACAAGACAAGCAAAACATACTGATATATGTTTACTTTAACACTGCTAAATTTTTTTGCATCCAGATCAGCCTAGGAATGAAACAAACAAAAAAGAGAAGATAATCAGAAAGAATAAATTAAAACTAAACAACTGTGGAGTTTTAACATTACTCCCAACTGGTAGCCCATTCAAAACAAGGGCAAATTTTATTATCTCCACTAATGTATAATTTACCTGCAAATCCAGTCAATTTTAAAAACTCCTCCCAACATTTTAGCATTCATTCCTGCCGGCAGCACCCAATGTATAGGAGATCCTCCATGATGTGATTCTGAAGAAAGTCTTGCAAATCCTAAGGGAATCAAATCACAATATAAAATATAGATGCTAATATAAATGATGTTTTTATATATCCAAAATCTTTTTATTCTTACCTTGAAATTTTCCACTCTCTCTGACAGAAAATATTAATATAACACTCCTTGCAGATCTGAATGCAGCATTTAATTTCTTCTCATTTACAGGCAGCGTGGACCAAACACCCTACACAAATGATAAAAGGATCACAGACAGAAATTAATGCAAATCTTTCATCTTTGCAATTATATTTGCAAAAGACCAAGGCTACTGATACTGTTGTACTTTAAATTCAAGTAAGCTATAATAAAGAAAGGTCTTATTTAACAAGTGTCAAAATAATGTACTAACTTATTAAAAACTCAGGAAAAATACGGAGAAAATTCCGAACCTTAAACAAAATCATTAAAGCAACTAGAAAACACGTTGGGGTGGGGGGATGTCAAATCTTATGGGCTAGAATTCTACATAATAGAAACAATCACCTACAATTATTTTAATATCACAACCATTTACTGTGGTAAAAACATGTTGTTTACAGGTGAATCACAGTAAGTACATTTTTCTCCTTAAAAAACTGCCTAACCAAAATAATTAAAAAAAAACTGTATTAGTAAATCCATCAGTGAAGATTTTTCTCCAGGTCCTAGCATTTCTCATTTTTTCTATTTAAGTTCAAATGTTTATGATTAGTGTGACTAGAGACCTGTGTTGTACACAGAGCCAGAACAAAGTTATTAATCTCTAAAGAATTTTAATCTATTACTTGTTCGTGAAAAGATTAGAAGAAATAGTATGGTAAAGTAAGGCAGAAGCTCTAATTCAGTTCAATCTGCTCATACAAACTAGATCTCATTCATACTAAGTGCTTAATTACTTCTGCCTAAATTCACTCTATCAGAGGAACAGAATAAACTTCCACTATGTAGTTATTTGGTATATAGCTTGCATTTATAAAGTCTGATGGGTAATTATTATTGTGAGAAAATTAAGATAGTAACACTGACAAAAATATGGTTAGAAAAATTAACTTTCTAAAAATCAGTTGAACCTGTAATGACTCATTTTAAGCCAAGAAAAGAAAAATTTTATAATGGTGTGACAGATGTATTTTTGCAGCAAAAACAAACATAAAATTAGTATCTTACAACATCCTACAGCAACTGGACATATCATTTTTGTAAAGCATTGGGGTGGGCCTTTAGGCTAACTCTTTCCCTTTTCTTCTAAATTCAAGTGATGTTACTTCTAAAAATAAAAGAAATTCTCTGTAAAAGAATGATTTCTTCTCAAGAAGATCTCAAGGTGTAAAACCAGCATCAATATAAAACAAAAAAACGGTTAATTACAGAAACATTTAAAGAAGTGGTAGTACAGGAAGTTAGCAACTGAATACAGACAAAAAAAATAATCTCCTATGGTACAAAGTATAAAACATACATATTCTTCAATATCAAATATTTTGACTTCTAAAATCACCTTTAGAAGACTCTAACTCAAATGACTACTAGGTTGCTTAACCAGCCACAAAGCAGACCCTCAACGGCAACTGGGCTATGGATCTTTAAAGCTTTAATGAAAATCACAGCATACTACTAAGATACTCAAGTCCACCTTCCCATTTAAAATTTTCAAGACTGGGATAGTTTCAACAGAACTGATGCTAATACCTTAGCTTTGGCAAGAGACACATTCTCATGGTTGTTACTCTTTATGAGAAAAAATCTTGCATCCTGTAGGACATATTTGAGTTTACTGGTTTGATCTGAAAAAAAAAAAAAAATCCAAACCAATTAACCAGAGGCCATTATCACAGAGGTGTAAGCTGTACTGAAATTAGCCCTCCACAACCCAGCTAAACTTTTAAAATTCATCATCACCCATTCGACCTGGAAAGCTAAGCCACAACACATAATAGAGCAAAGCTAAGAAAAGACACCAGCATTCTGCAAGAAGTTAAACCTAATCTAGTGATGTTCCGATATATCAGATTCATATTTAAGTATGAAAATAGCTATAAATTTTATAGATTTCTTTTACCAGATTATTCATTTAAATATACCATTATGCTATTAAATATATATGCGTGTGTGTGTATATATATATATATATATATATACACACACACCATCCACTGTGTCCAAAACTATAAAATATCCTAAGATGTTTGCTATTGTTCTAAAAGATATGCAGTTAAGAAGTAAATGTGGAGCTGTCTCTTTGTAAGACTACATTATTAATTCTTTTCTTTAATGTAATATATCAGAACATTACTACATTAAAACCAACCATTAATGGAGAACTAATAAGGCAAAATAATGACTTTATGCAGCATGCAATGAAAACAATTTCAAATTTAAATGATACCTTTTCGGACAGCACGAACGGAAGATGATAATTTCTCATGCTTCTTTTCTGAACCTGTATTTAGCCAAAGTACATTTGTTCAGATTGAGCTTTAATAGAGATAAGACAAAATTTCTACAGTCTTGTCACATAAAGTTCTCATTCAAGACAAATTATTCTTCCTGGCGCACCCACACACACAAAAAAAAATACTTCTCAATGTGTACGAGTGTTTTTGTTTTTTGGGTTGTTTGGATTTTTTAAAAAATATGTATATTTGAACAGTTTCCCACTCAGAAAACTAGTCACTGAATCATCATCTTCCAAGAAAAAAAAAGTGAAATTCCACTTAAGCAGTAACAGAACAGGATTAAAATAATAAGAAAAAGCTTAGTTTCCTCTAGAATTATTACACTGAACATGCCAAAAATCAATACTAATGAACATCAACAAGTTCACACTAAACTACAGCCTCCACACTTTCTACAGCAAATTACATTAGAATCAGTCAGATATGATCACAAATAAAAGTAAAATGAGGATACCTGCATATGACTCTGATGCAGAGCTTCCACTTCTATCAAAAACAATTGGAGAGATGCCTCTAGCTCTCTTCCTTTCCTTCTTTTTCTCATCTAAAAAGAATTCAAACAAGATTTTTAAAAACATTACAATATAGGTACAGGTACTCGAACAAGAATATATCATGTGCCTGGTTTTTGCACAATCCTTACGTATTAGTCATTGCTAATCTCTCCCCTAACCCTTCAATTTCCTCAGAAGGTGTTCCATTTCAAAGGCACTGTTCAAAAAACAGAAACATATTGCTTCTCCCACCAACTTCAAATTAAAAACACATGACCATATAACTGAGAACTACTTATCCTCTACATAAAGGTAGTCTTAAATAAAATTTTCAAAGAGGGGGAAAAATCTGCAAAGCAAACACAACTTTTATTTCAGTCAAATATACTGTGTTTCTTTCTATGTACCAGGTACCACTGTTCTAAAAAGTAAACTATCATTCTTCATTACAATTCCAACTCTGATTCTTAGATGTCTGACAAACCCCAGAACCCAAAGCTTTTCAACTGTAAAAAATAGTAATAATAATACACTATAGTAAGTTAGTGATTCCTCTTCTGGTTGCCCTTGCTTACTTTTGTGTCTTCAATTCCATTCTTCATGACCATTTCCCTCTTGGATTACTGCTGTTGTTTTCAAATTCAATTTAAAAATTTATTCCTAAAATGTTATCAACAGCCTATATATTTCTACTAAAAAGCTAAGAATCTTCGGTGGACAGAAGAGGTTTTGCATTACCTGTTATTTAAGAACAATTTCAAGCTTAATTTGGAACTTTATAAGCATATAAACAAACACCTAAAATTACGTATTAGGCTCTCCTGTCTCTGTTTATTGGTATTTTAATTATACCATTATAAGTTCCTTTACTTATCAGCTAGAAGGAGGAATAAATATGGAAAGAAAATGCACACATTTACTTTATTATAAAGATAGCAGAAGGCTAAAAAAAAAAGAAAAATGGTCCTGCATATTTTTCCATTGTATGACTATAAACAGTTACCTATTTAAAAAGATTTAGCTAAATTACCTCCCTAATCTTCATAACAAGCTCATGAAATACTTAAAGCCGTTATTCTCTTTTACAGAAAAGAGGAGTGGTTAGGCAACTTGGCCAATGTCCCACAGTTCCTGGATGGCAGAACCTCGTATCAAATGCAAGTCCTCTAACTTGAAAGTGCAAGCCCTGAGTTCTCTTCTTATTGAGCAAATAGAAAAGATATTTTACTACTATTCCTGAATGGGGATTCCAGGTCTAACTAGTTTGAAGATGGAAAATTCCAAGGACATTCTAAAGTTCCTTTGTTTAAGCATCTTTCCCTTTATTATGTACTGCTGTCTCTCCAAATAGATGTAACAAGAAGCTTGTAAGTGACAACGATTTTCCTAACACAGGGCTGAAAGAGCAGGGAAACACATATTGGCACAATTACAAAGCCAAGCCCATTTAAAGCAAGCAACCATGGGGGTATCATGATATCTCAAATAACCAGCTATATATTTATTTACAGAAAAGCATTTATTTCCAGGCTCACTTGCTTTGAATGATACCTGAACTTTCAAAAGTTTGTTGTTGTTTTTTTTTTAAGATTTTCTTTGAGAGAGCAAGAGCGAGAGACATCACAGAGGGAGAGGAAGAAGCAGACTCCCTGCTTGGCACACAGGCCTCAATCCCAGGACCCCGAGATCATGACCTGAGCTGAAGGCAGACACTTAACCAACTGAGCCACCCAGGCACCCACGAACTTTCAAAAGATTCAAGAATCCTTTCCCTCAGGGCCAACTGTAAGACTTCAAGTGAATAGACTGAAGCCTTTTAGTAGTAAATGACTGAAAAACCTCACCCAAACAGATGAGAAACAGGAGGTTTTGTAAAATCCTAAATCTTTCTCATACGTGTTTTGTTCACTGACTACACATTCCTATATAGTGCCTAGCACTGAACAGAAACCCAATTCAGTAAATCAATGAATATGACATTCACAGAGATTAAAAATGAAACCTTGTTAAATTTTATATATAAATCATACATAAAATTCTAGCACGTTTATCATTTTTTCTCTCTGAACATGTAGGAGTCTAAGCATTACGAACCGAACACTAATAATACATACCTTTTGTTGATAATTAAAAACAGTATTTTATAAAGTACTAAAAGGATCTCTCACTAACATGATACAGGAAAAAAAAAAAGCAAAGTTAAGATCCTGCCTGTTTTTTTTTTTTTAAGAGAAAACTTCAACTTTTAAAATAAATACCATTAGAAATCTCCAAGGATTTTTCTTTTTTTTTTTTTTTTAAAACAATTAACTCCCACTGCTCTTAAGTTTATGATCTCCTCTCCCAACTATTAGTCTCAGGTTGAAAGAACAATGAAAGTCATCTAACATATAAACTTTTAATGACCACCAAAGTGCCACTTTTACAAATAAGTTACTGAAAATTCTGGGGAAAAAAAAAAAACTAGAAGCTAGAAAATTCATAACACAGAAACTAAACTGTGATCCCTTCTGTTTAAAAACAGACATCTCCCGGAGCTACTGGGTGGCTCATTTGGTTAGGCGTCCAACTCCTGACTGCAGCTCAGGTCATGATCTCAGGGTCATGAGATCTAGCCCTACATCGAGCTCCACACTCAGCAGGGAGTCCGTTGGAGACTCTCTCTCTACTCCCACAACCCGCACGCACTTGCGCACTCTCTCTCAGACTAAACAAATCTTTAAAAAAAAAAAAAAACATCTAATTCAGGAGTTCCAAATCCACTCCCATTTTTCTTTCAAACATTTTTATGGAAAACTACTCCATGATTAAAAATAATAACTTCCTGCACACTAAACACAGTCTCTAAAACATGTTCCATATAAGGGATTTTCCAAGGAAAATCCAGTTTCTTTTAATAAGCAAAGTAAGAATTCCAGGTATCTCTTTTAAAACAATAAATTCTTCAATAAACAGCTGATATCAAGGTTCATGAGACTATTGACTACCATTTAATCTGAAATGTCTTATCCACAAAAATATGAAGTATTATCAAGTACCTTGCTACAGTATCAGCATCATCTAGGAGCTTGTTAAAAATGCAGATTATTTTAAGTACTATCCATTTAAATAAGTCTCCCTTGTTTGACTTAAATAGGACAAATAAATACTGTTCCTAACATAGATACCAAAAAGATTCCTAAAATAAAATATCCCCTACCCGATGGATATTTCACACATTCATCACAGCATATTGTCAATGTACTTTTTGTTCTCTATCCATTACTAAATTATAAAAGATATATAATCCCATCAGTTTGCAAAAAGTACAATGGGAAAGTACAATTCAAGATCCCACAAAGTTTGGGGCGCCTGGGTAGCTCAGTTGGTTAAGCCTCTGCCTTCGGATTGGGTCAGGATCCCAGGGTCCTGGGACTGAGCCCCACATCAGGCTCCCTGCTCAGAGGGAGTCTGCTTCTCCCTCTCCCTCTGCCCCCACCCCTTGCTTGTGCTTTCTCTTGATTTCTCTCTCTCTCTCAAATAAAATCTTAAAAAATACTCCACCAAGTTTTATATCAAACTCAACTACTCATCTACTCAGTTTAACTCTTTATCCCCCTTTAAAATCCTCTCTAAACTCCCAAACCTAGAACTCCAGTGAGCAAAAGGTTGAAAGCACTTCAGTTACCAATCTCTAAAAAACAGAAAATAGCTGGCCATTTGCTTTATCACCTATACAATTTTAAGAATATGATTTACTAACAATGTACTTTTAAAATGATATACCAACAATGTACTATAAAATGATAAAATTTTATAATAATGAAGTTGTAACGATCCTATGTAACAAAACAATAGAATTTTTCTTACTATTCCAACTTTTAGTTCATTTAGAATACATACCAGATCTGGCTGCATCCGGACATAAGACAGCCATGACAGTATGCATAACCATCATAAAATGGCAAGAGATCTCTTAAGTACCCTGACCTCTCTCCTTGTTGTTCGCTCTGAATTTCCCCTCAAAAGAGGGTCCCCCCACCCTTAGCCTAGTGACTGCAACTACCTACCATTCCTATATTTACATCTTGTAGATCAGATAGGGATAAAGTGGTAGGCCGTGTAGTATTGAAGGAATGACCAAGACAGCTCTTAACCAATCTCCCCACAAGAATCTTAACTCTTATTTTCCACCTCTTGTACTTCTACACCCAGCCTTTGGGAGATCCCGCCCAAGTCAGTCAACCCACAAGTAGAGAATTGAAAAAACACTGTGTACTCCCAAAAAAAAAAGTTAAGATTTCTATTACCATATGATAGAAATCTAGAGGCATTTAACATGGAATTACTGTAGTAACTAGACAGGTTCCATATCAATATACTTCAAGTACATCAGACATCAGTGTTTAAATAAGCTGTTGACTCGTATGAAAACCTAAGAATTTATAACTATAACCTGAAATACATTTCCATATAGAGAAATAATCAGACTTGTATTCATTTAGAACACAATCAATTTGAATCTGGGAAACACATTTACTATTACTATTACTCAAAAGTACATAACTATAAAAAAAAAAAAATCACAAGACAACCTTATTAACATCCCCAACTCAAAATATTTTATAATTCAATTTAAACATGTTCAGAAATAAAATCGGGGTTTTTTTTTTTAAAAAAAAACAAACTTATAAATACAAATAGTACCTGATCCATCTGTGCCTGAACCAGATCTGACAGATCCATCTGTGAAAGAAACTGATTCAGAATCAGAGTCGCTAGCTTCACTTCGAGTATCATAATCATTTCCCTCTTCCTTCTGGTCTCTCTCATCCTGTTCATATTCTTCCTCCTCCTCCTCCTCTTCTTCCTCCTCCTCCTCTTCCTCTTCCTCCTCTTCCTCCTCCTCCTCTTCTCCATCTTCATCCACTTCTTCATCTTCCTCTGCATCTTCTTCTACCTCTTCATCTTCCTCCACATCTTCCACCCCTTCCTCCTCATTCTCAGTATTGTTGCCTTGCTCATCAGAAGAACCACTGCTGCCAGTCTCATGGTCAGAGCCATATTCTTCAGAGTTCACTTCTTCCTTAGAAGATTGGCTGGATCTGCTTGCACGTCTATCCACTTCAAGCCCAATTCTCTGATGTTTAAAGAAAAAGGGAATCAGCAGTCATATAACAGACAAGGTCAGAGTGAATAAATAGTTCTAAAGCCTCAAAAAGAATTGCTTTGTTTTACATCTGCAATAACATTTACTACCTCAGAACCATCTGGCGTAGGGGATTTGGTCCTCCTTTCAGGGTCCCTTTTTCGGAGACAAGTTTTTTCAGGTTGACTCTTATAAGGTTCTCTAGAAGCACTGCTTGACAAACGAATCTTCCGATCAGCTTCTAGACGCTTGCTTCTTTCAGATCTTTGATATTCCTCATTTTTATACTCTGCAACTGACTTTCCTTTAGTACTAACTATTCTTTTGTTATTGCTAACAGATGAGCTCAGTGGCTTAGAAATCAACTGTCTTGAATGAACAGAAGGCTTTTGTCGCTTGATATCAGTAGATTCCATTCGGTCGCTTTTTCTTTTTGATCCTTAAAAATACAATTTAAAGAAAGCATATAAATGTATTTTAGGCATTCTATTTGTTTCAGCAAAGATTAACAAATAATATGTATCAAAGAGAAAAAAAAGGCTCATTTCTTTAAAATATCTTCCGAAATGTTAATCATAAAAAAACAAAGCCTGCAAATTTTGGAATAAATTCATGTATGAGACATTTCACACATCTGAAAAAAAAATAAATCACTTTTAATCACATAGAATTGGGTACCACAGTTTGTTATGATTGTACTTTTGGTGTTAATGGACTCAAGGAATAAGAACAAAAGGAAAGTCACTTTCTTAATAAATTAAATCTCTAAACTTATTTTTTAGAAAATTAAAAATATTACATACCCTTTTTCTCGTTTTTATCTTGTTCACTCTCTGGATTATACAGTTCATCATCCTGTTCTGGTACTTCAGTCAAAATATCATCTAGAACATTTAGTTCTCCATCTGAAAGCCAGAAAATTAAAAATAGGGAAAAATCATTACCATTAAGCATTTATCTTGGACTACTATATTGGATCTACATAAATATGAAAACATAACCCTCAAAGACATTTTATTTCAGGATCAAGACACAAGACTAATTCTATAAAACCATACAAAGTAAAGGACATGACACAGACCTCTGGTCTACAAAGCCAGGAGTAGTATATTACCCACCCCATAGGGTATGAAAGGATATCCTGGAGGGCAAAAAGAAAATGTTAAGAATTTCTGTATCTGTAGCTCATTTTCTAATTTCTAATTTTTCTAACTGCTTTAAAATGTGCACAAAAAAAAGGTACAGAAATAAATGTGTGTTAACATAAACACACACTTAACAAGGACTGTGTACTCCTCAAGATACTGATTACCAAGAAAAAAAAAATTTTACAGTGGAGAAACATGACAGATTCCAACTTAACCACAGTGAGTCAAATCAATATCAAAGACGCCCTGGCAATGATGCACAACAATTCTGTGGTTCTCTTATGCAAAATTCAAACTCTGAACCTATACGTGAGAAAACATCAAATAAACCGAAATGAAGGGTCATGAACTACAAACAGTAAGAAATCACTCCAGATTAAAGGAGAATAAAAAGACATGATAACTGAATAAGGCATATAACTGGGAAGCTAGTAAAATTATAAAAAGGTCTGTAGATTAAATATCAGTTAATTTCCTGAATTTTGATAGTACTATCGTTAAGTAAAAGTCCTAATTCTTAAGATATACATACTTAAGTATTTAAGGACAAAGAAGTATCATGTCTGCAATTGACAAATGGTTCAGGAAAAAAAGTGTGTCTGCATATGCATACGTCCTCAAGAAAAACAATGTGGTAAAAAGTTAACGTGGAATGTGGTTGAAAGGTAAAACATTTTTTTGTACTATTCTTATAGCTTTTCTGTCCAAAAAATGTCAAAAATAACATTAAAAGAAAAAAAAAGTACTTCTGTGCTACACAATCAAAAACATTTCAGACTACTGGTATAAACTAGGAAACATGTTAACTTGTTCAGGCAAGAGAACTGTTGACTATAATTGACATACTGAATGATCGTGAAAACCTGTAACTCAGTTTTCTCACTGCATCCCTACCCCCGCCATTTCCAACAGGACAAAATAAACCCTAGAAATACATGCAAATATTTACTACTTTAAAAGCTGATGTCTTTTATACGAGCGCCTGGGTGGCTCAGTCAGTTAGGCATCTGCCTTTGGCTCAGGTCATGATTCCAGGGTCCTGGAATAGAGCCCCATGTTGGGCTCTCTGTTCAGCAGGGAGTCTGCTTCTCCCTTCTCCCTATGCCCCTTGCTCACGTTCTCTTGCTCACTCTCTAATAAATAAAATCTTTTCTAAAAAATTTTTAAAAATAAATAGATTTTTTTAAATAATACACTAAAGCTAATGATAAATGCTTTGAATACTAAGTATTCTGGTGCCAAAAATATCTTTCCAAATTTAAAGTGTGGTAAAGAGAAATATAAAGTCATGAACACTGATGAGATAGGACAATTTTATTTATGGCTCCAACCAAAAAGCAAAGCCCATTAAAAATTACAGCAAGGGTAGTAATTAACCTGACCTGAGGTCTATAAACAAGATAAATGAAACTAAAACATCTCCAAAGGGTGACAGAAATCAGTGACTCTGAAGAGAACTAAAATACTTAATGTAGGTATAAGAAAGATCAGATAGGATACAGAAAAAGTAACATCTCAGTATTTGGAGTCAGACACAGTTGCTATTTAAGAACCCATCTTCCTCAGTGTCTGGAGTTAGACAGTTGCGGCTTAAACATCTAGGGGCACCTGAGTGGCTCAGTCCTTTGAGAGTCCCACTTGGTTTCAGCTCAGGTCATGATCTCATGGGTCATGGAATTGAGCCCTGTGTTGGGCTCTGAGCTAAGCTGGGAGTATGCTTGAAGATTCTCTCCCTCTGCTCCTCCCCCACAAAGCATACACACTATCTCGGTCTCAAATAAATAAACAAATCTTAAAAAAAAAAAAAAAGAACATCAAAAACTACATATGCTGGAATGGCATAACAATTGATTTCTTTGGGTGGTTAGCGCACTTTACTGTTTTTCTAAAATGAATATATATACTATAGGGATTGTTTTTATTTTTACTTATAGCTCTCTAGTCAGTAAAAAAGTGTATCCAACAGGGGCACCTGGGTGGCTCAGTCGTTAAGCGTCTGTCTTCGGCTCAGGTCATGATCCCAGGGTCCTGGGTTCAAGCCCCAGATCGGGCTCCCTGCTCAGCGGGAAGCCTGCTTCTCCCTCTCCCATTCCCCCTGTTTGTGTTCCCTCTCTCACTGTGTCTCTGTCAAATAAATAAAATCTTAAAAAAAAAAAAAAGAAGAAAGTGTATCCAACAGATCTTCACAAGAATCAACTACATTTCTGAACCAAAAACAAAAAAAAAACCTATCAGAATGAAATAGGCAATTAAGTAAACATAGTGCTACACAAATCTTTTCATGAAATCACTAGAGCTCTGTATTAGAAATATCAATCCAAAAGCCTGAACATTTACATGAAATTACACACTTTATATGTGCTAAATCTAACACAGAATGATTTGTGCAGGTTAATTTAAATTAATTTAAATTTCAGGCATGTTTAAATCCTGGTTTCATTTAAAAAAAAAAGGTTATCGTTTAAAAAAAGCCTTAACAAATAATTGTATTCGTCAAATGCAGAGACTGGCTGCAGTTTTAAAAAGCAGCCATAAATTTTTAAGACAACAAATATTAACCAATGCTTACTTTTTTTAAACATTTTACCACTTTCACATATATCATATATATACATACATGAAACACCTAAACTATGTTTTATCATCCATTACCTCACAGATAAAGAAACAGGAGCTCAAAAGTACAAGGTGACCAAATTCATGTGTCTAGAAACAGAAGGGTACAAGCCTACAGTTCAGGTTTTCTAAATCTAGAGTTAAATTAGATGGGGAACATTAGAAAAACCTTTAAACAAAGTATAAGGAAACAACAAAAATGCAAATTATTAAAAAGTCATGTGCACTAGATTAATTTCAAATTAATGCACCAGAAAGCTCTGTATAACTGACATTATAGCATTCTGACATTTAAGATCAAACACTACGTCCTCACTTGATGGTCTACATTTTTATCCATATTATATTTCATGACATCAATACCTGTGTTTTTATCACAATACTGACAAATGAAGACCTGCAGAATAAATTCAGCCTATGGCTTATTTGACCAGCAAGATAAGAAAGATTCTGCATCTTAAAGGTTGTGTTTGGGGGGGAGGGTGGATGTAAAGAACAACATGTGACAAACCCTTGTGGGTTTTTCCAACCCCTAATATAAATGACATTTTAAATTACTTTTCTCCATTACTGAAACCCCTTATATATTTACTGTAATATAATATACAGAAGATCTGGATTTGGAAGAAAATCCAGGTTATCATTTAAGAGCTAGGTTATCTTCAGGAAGGTCCCAGTCTGAGCTCCAGTTTCTTCACTTCTGATAAGAGGCATTTAGAATAAAAAGATCAGTGTTTGGGGAAAGGAACAGGAGTGCAGTTATTTGAATCTCTTGAGTTTTTAACCTTTCCTTTATCACTATCAAATTCTAATAAACCCTGCCTGCCACAAACCTTGTGTTAATGACCAGGATACATTATACACAAAATCTGGTCCAGAACACAAAAATCCTTTTTTTTTTAAATAAACAAATATATACATATCCTAATTATCTGTTGCTATATAACATGCCATCCCAAAACTCAGTGGCTAAAAGAATACAATCATTTATTATTATTGCTTAAGGTTCTGGGGCTCAACTAAGGTCTCTCATGTGGCTGCCGTCAGATGGTGGGTAGGGCTAGAATCACCTGAAAGCTTGTTCATTCACGTCTGCCTGACACCTACACCAGAAAGACTCAAAACAGCTGAGGCTTCCAGGGCATTTCTTTCTGTGGTCACGCTCTACCATGGCAGCTTCAGGGTAGGCAGACTTTTTACATGGTGGTTTAGGGCTCTAAATACGTACATCCCCAAAGAGAAAAGGCCAGGCAGAAGCTCGGTTCAGTATTTAATTCAGAGGCAATCACAAAAGTCTACTCAGGTGCAAACAGAGGAGACATAGACTCTACCTAATTGATGGAGAAGTGTCAAATACTTGGTAGCTGTTTTCAAAGCTATCACCACCTACTTAGTTTTGTTTAAACTTAAGGATTTTAATTACAAACGTAAGGTGTATTTTTAAAAACCAAAATACGGTTTTAAAATGAGAAAGTTTACAGTACTGGTTATAAAGCTGACTTAAGCTCTTTCTCTGACCACTTCTTTCATTGGCTAGAAAAAGTACACTTTGTACATATTTCAATCCACTTTTCCAACCCAGAATGAATTATAAAGAAAGTAAATATTATTTTAATATTCTCAGAAGCTACTGCTGCTGAAGACTAACCATCACTGGCATATCCCTTTTGGGAAAAAAAAAAAATAATTGTCTTTTTAAGAGATAAAATAACACCCACTAGTTTTCTAGAGTGATCTTCTTTAAAATACCTTAATAAATTTAATTTTTATTTTATTTTTTAAATAAACTTAATTTTTAAGAGTTTTAAATCACTCTTTGTCCTAAAAATATACACTGTATATTTATTATTCTGTATATTTTAAATATTCAATTCCTTCATAGCAGCTTGACAGCAGCACCCCAACCTAACAATGTTGAACAGTAAAACAACAAAGGTTAACAAATGCCAGATTAAGAAGAATTCTATGAACATACAATTCATGTACTACAAAAATAACTCTAGTGTAACACTTCTATAAGATAAAGCACTTCACATAGTTTTTGGATAAGTCTTTACAACGGATCCAATATTGGGGCACCTGGGTGGCTCAGTAAGTCGGTTAAGCGTCTGCCTTCAGCTCAGGTCATGATCCCAGGGTCCTGGGATCAAGTCCTACATCAGGCTCCCTGCTCAGCGGGGAGTCTGCTTCTCTTACTCTCCTCTGTCCCCTGTTCATGATCTCTCTCTCTCTCAAATAAAATCTTAAAAAAAAACAGTATTTTTTTAAAAATTTGAAGACTCAAAAAACTGTTTAAGATGCCACAACAAAATGAATTTTGTCACAATGAATTAGCTCAAATGAAACACAAAATTATTCATTAAACAGTGTTTCTATTTACAGCTAAAATTCAAATTCATCCAAAAGTTATTAAAACTCCAAGGATTTAATACAAAAATGCACACCTTGCATTTTTTAAAAGGACTAGTTGGTCATTAAGGAACCAGATTCTCACCTGAAAGCAACCAAAAGGAGCGGTCCTGAGACAGAAATGGTAATATATGTCATGGTTTTGCAAGAGACAATCTGGGTTTATGCCTGGTAAACGTGTACTTATCAAATACTGCCTGCACACAGACCATGCTTGCTCTTTTACTTTTTTTTTTTTAACCTAATAGCTATTAACTATTAAACAAGTACTTTATCTGTCTGACCCTGGTATGCATGTAAGCCTGTAACTCCTGAATAACAATGTTAAATAACTGCAAATAAATTTGGTATGAATGATACTTTGTGCAAGAGTAGAAATGGTGAGGAGGACAATCCTACACACCTCTAGTGGATTAACTGCCTTAACAAAATTCAAGCACCATGTTGTCCAATCTTCCAAAGTTTCAAAAGGATTCCCAAATTCAGATTTTCATTTGGAATTGACTTATTAAACACTGCCTCAAGAAAAGAACAAAACAAAGGTTGTTGCCAGCTTGACTACTCTGTGGAAGTGCAATCTGTGAATGTTTTGTTTTCACAATACATGATGTAGATGGACGTCACTATCATCACTGATGCAAGCTAGCCACAATCTTATTTATCCCAAACTATTAGCAAACTGAGTTTTGAAATAAAGGTACAGATCCAGGGGTACAGGAAGCAAAACAAGAAAATAAAAAGAATCACTGTCTTTAGAGCCTGTTCAAAAACTGTCAAGATGTTAGGAGTAACAAGGCTGTTTTTTATTGTTCTACCGGGGGATTTTTGTTTTAGATAATCATGGGAAAATGGAAATCTAACTAGCTTTCAAAGTACTTGAACCACCAGGTTCAAGAATTCCAGAATGAAGCCTACAGAACTGAAGTGACTTCACTAAAATCTCACAACTATGAATCCAAATTTAATGCTCTTTACACTACACCAGAATTATGCTTTAATCTTGAAACTCCTGGCCCAGGAAGGCCACTTCCAGGGTATCAGTGTAGAAAATTAACCTTTCTCTGCAACACAGTCCATTGTTTAGGACCAAAAGGTTCTGGGTCAGGAGATACAAAGTATTATTTGAGGGTCCAGTGACAAACTAAGACCTAGAATATTTAAAGAAAATCGGGCAGTTAAATATACTACACATTCTGTCTTACAACACAGAACACCAAAGTACATTCTTTTAATTCATTTAATATAGTCTTAATGGACTTTGACAAGAAGCAAGAATTCCTGGAACCTCCCCTTCTGCTACATTTGACATTAGACCAGTCTCAGTTACTGTTTGTCATTCAAAACTGTCATTCCACTAAATGAAGCGTAGAGACTTGAATATCCCATCCCACACAAATTTGCTGCTCTCCAATAAGTATATAATTTGAAGTCTAAGGAGAGCATTTTAAATTTTTTATCCTATTTCTATTATGGGTAAAATAAATACACTGGAATATCAAATACATACTCTATGCTTTCTAAAGTCCTAATTAAAGTGGACCAAGGGAGTCAACCTTTTTCTAAGGACTTACTATAGTGAGGGCTATACTATGTACATACAATACGTGTTTATGTATATATAACTGTGTTAACATATTTATATGTACCTGCCTATATGATTGTGTGTGTACACATACAATTTAAACTGAGAAAACCCTTAGCTTTGACAGCAATAGCAAATGTCTCATAGTGAGTTACCAATGAGTCCAACCTTGAAGTCATTTATTCAAGGCTCTGAGTCATGATTAACTGTTCACCAAGAACCTGGTGAACAAGAGACACACTCCTGGCCCTGACGGAGCTTTCAGTCCGGAAATGCAGAAAACATATTACTTATGAAAGTGGTTAACTCATTACCCTCATTTTGGATATATTAAACTTTCACACTGTTTTTCGGAGAGAACTTCATAAGAGTTTAAGAAATAAAATGAATACAAAATGTTTGAAATAGAAAAGATATGTATTCCTCATATAGAAAAACTAACAGTTAACACCACCAACAGTGCAGTATCTTTCAAATCCACTTTTTGGACATATAATCACCACAGGAATGAGAGGGAGTTGGCAATTTACATAGGCTTCAGCTTTTAAGTATGGGTATTATAGAAGCATTACAGAAGTTAATGTTTGTTTATTATACAGTTAATGTGCAAAGCCCAAAAATCCAAGGACTCTATAACCAAGTCTTTTAACTGTTCTGTGACTAACAGCAGATTTCTGCAATTTAAACTCATTTCTTAACAAGATTCTATATCATTCATGAAATCATTTAAGGCCTGTGACAAGTCTAAGATTCTTATAGGGCTTAACTTTAAAATTTCATAAGGTTTCATATAAGATAAGTAATAAGTACTTCCCACTTTTCCTTGTTGAAGTATGAGAAGGAAGAGGGAATCAGGTATTCTAATTCTGGTTATTATTCTAGCTGAGTGACAATGATCAAGTAAGTGAGACACCCTGGACCTCAGTCTCCTTATTTGCAAAATGAATTATTCTAGAAATCTTCTCATTACACCATAAGCAATTCCAGTAGGTTTGTATTCGCCAGCTTTCCCAGTAAACTAGACACAATCTTTGATCTAAACTATAAAAATAAGCACTTACATCAGAGGTTTTAAAATAGATATAAGTTCAACTACAGAAATTAAGTTAATTTTTTAAAACTATACAAATGTGAGATCTTGCAAAAGTTGGACGACTTATCCTAAGTATTGCTAATAGGTGACATTATAAAGTCCCTAGGAATAGTTATAAAGTTTATGTATTTGGACTGCACTTTCATCACTACATCCATTTCTAAAACAATTTTTAAAACATAACCTACTTTTCTTCCACAGTGTACGTTACTATGTCTATTACTGACTTAACAACTATGTTCATTTTAACAATGAATTCTTGGGAAGTACTGGACTTTTACTCATTTTGTATTTGGTTTACCTCACCCACCACAACCACCACCCACTCCCATACACACAGCTCACAGATTACACTGATACAATCAAATGTTGACTGAATTAATTTTTATTGATTAAAATCATCTATTTTAATAACTCACTTTACTAATTTAAAAGCAGTTTCTTTTTGTCACCAACACCATGCAACCTGAAGTTCACATCCCTTTCACACTTCTCAAAATGGGGGGTGAGGTGGGTTTAAGATTTAAGGAAGGTAAATTAAACTACTACAACCTAATCGCTGAATTGCTTTAACATAGCAGCAATATCTTAAACATATTCCCAAACACACCACTTCCCAAGCTTGTCCCTATCCTAGCGCAGTTTACTGAAGCATGAAGACTCTTCTCTCTTTTAAGGAGAAAAATTAAAGAGATCATAGGCCTAATGCAACCTGACCTTAGAATCCGTTTAACAAATCCCACCCCCAAGTTAATTAGCCACACAAAAAAGTAGATCTATGAGATACAGGGCAGCAGCTGTGCCATATTTTTATCAACTATAACCTTTCCAAAACTATCATGGTAATCCCTAAAGTTAGAAAAAACCCTAAAGGCAGCATCTAATCTAGATTACTCTCCAGACGGGTATTGATCCAGGATATTCATTAAGATCTGCAGGGCCTGGGAGGTCGGTATTTCAAAAGACATGACATTCCATTCTGCCAACATCAGTTCTTCCTCTATTTCACTGTAATGTTATTCCCCCAGCTCTCTATAAATTACATCCGTTTGCTCCCGGTTGTACCCTTTGGGTGCTAGCACAATGTGTTTCTATCAGAATAGTGGCCAGGATTATTTTTGCCAACCCTAAATCATGTCAATATCTCTTCAAACATCATGTTTTCCGAAAGTAAGTATTCGAGGAACTAAATGGACAATTCTTACCACTTTGCCTATTTAACAGAAGAGCCATAAATTACTTGTAGATATTTCTCGAGATCACTAATCCACCTGTACAACTTCTTAAATACGGTCACTTACTAGACTGCCATCGTTTTGATCGTGGCATTAAGGATTTTCGAAATTTTGCCTGAAAGAAAGAGTCGTTCTGAAAATACGCATTACATCCGCATAATCCTACCAGGAAATAAACCTAAGGGCCTGCCACTCAGCAGAGGCCCTCTAAGCCGCGCCCAGAACTGCTAAACGGAAAGTAAAGAGGGAAATAGGATTAAAAAAACAAAAACACACACACGAAAACCAACCCTAGGCGAGATGAAGTGCTAGGTCAAACGGAGATCGAGGACACAAGGGCAGGCCTGGTTTCTTCCAGTGAGTCCAAGTGTCTCAGGTGGGAAGGATCGGCTCCGCGCGGGACAAGCTAACCTCCCCAACCCCCACTCCGCAACGACGACCACAGCTCCATCGATCCACTACAGAGCGTCGCCTCCACCCCGTTACCTTTCTCCGCACTAACCTTTCTCCTCCCGGCTGTCGGCCGCCATTGCTCCCCTCCTGTTTCCGCCGCTGCTGCTGCCGCCGCCGCCGCCGCTTCGACGCGACTCGCGCGGGCGCCGCAGCCGCGGCAGCCGTAGAACGGGCACGTCCGTCAGTCCGGCCGCTGGGCTGCGCGCTTCGCACCTTGGCCTCTACCGCTCACCGTTCTCGACTCACCCTTTTTCTTCCCGCTTCTACCCCTTCTCCCTTTTCTCCTTTCACTCCAACCTCTGGCGCCCTAGGCCCAGCCTTCTCCTTGGGGTTTGGGTACGGGAGGGGGTAAGGGGGGAGGGAAGGGAAACAGATGGCGACGGCGGGCGGCGCTAAAATGGAGCCTGCTTCCTGCGCGAAACAATCCCGCTCCCAAAATGCCCTGCGCTGTTTACGCTTCGTTCCTCCTTGGGAGCGTCACAGTGCGGAGAGGGGCGGGGAAGCGGGAAACGTGATAACGTTTGCACGTCGCTCCGTCTCCCACAGCCCGGATGTCCCCAGCTCGAGTCTCATTTTCTGTGATTGGGTCGCCGAAGTTGTAGCGTTTTGGGATGTGCGCAGCGGTCCGTACACCCAGGTGTCGCCGTTTTCTCACCTGAAAAGCCTACTGACGGACCTTACTTAGCGAAAAAATGCTTCCGGTTGTTCCAAAGAACTCCTGATCCAATTCTGGAAACCAGAGATTTAGAATAAGTCTGGGCCGGTCCCTTTGCAGCCGCCACTTTGGTTGCCAGATACACTTTCTTAGTTGGTGCCCTAGGCTTAGCCAAAGGCAGCGCAGGATGCACCCCGCTCGTCACAAAAGTCTACTAGTTTTGTTGCTAATTGGGGAAATTAGATGAGTTCTATTGTGTTTTAGTATAGCTTTGTAATTCATATAATAGCAAATTTGATTTAAACATTTATCGAGGCGCTGGGGTACACAGTTGATTTAAACAGACTATTGAGAAATTGAAACTACAGAAGTGACCAAAAATTACCTAACTACATAATACGGTAAAATCTGCAAGGAAACTTTCAGAAAGTCCATTGTCCAACAAAGGCATGAAAATGTCATTTTGCTTCACTGTTCCATAACTGAGTTTAAAAGGGAAGGAAATTTTGAAGGGAAGAAAAGGTAACATTTTATATAAAAACAAACTAACAGCATGTTCAAAGAAAGACAAATAGTATAGAGTGTGCTGGCCATAACAAATTGAGACCAAGCTAAAATCTGTGGAAAGAGTTTAAGGAGGGCCTGCAGGAAAAAGAGGAAGGAAAAACAGGTAATATAAAACCCAGCTATGTATCAGATGCTTAGGAATGAAGAGTAAACAGAACAGTATTTCTGCCTTTAAGGAATTTTCCAGTATAATATATGGAAGAAACAAGTTAACAGAAAATTCGTGTGTGATGGTTAACAGCTGAAAATTGTGTTTTTACTGTGTGCCAGGTACTGTTCTGAGGATTTGACCTATACAATCTGATTTCATCTTCCAAAAGCCCAATTAGATTATATTACTAGCTTTATTTTACATAAAAGGAAAGTGAAGTAATATGAAATTAAAGTGCCCAATGTCACGAGTAGTAGTAACATGACTCAAGTCCATGCAATTTACCTCTGGCCCTCACCTAATTGAAAATAATGCCTCAAGTAAACTTAGAATGTAATTGGAACTTTCAGAGGCACAATACTCAGACTTGGGGTGGAGGAGCACAGAATAGAGTCAAGAAAAGCTTTCTGGAGAAGGGAAAATTAAGCCTACTTGAGAACTAAAAAGACTTATTAGTCCAGGTGAAAGGGAGAAAGGGCAAAGATGGTGGGTAGAAGGATATTTTTCAGGGAAAAAAAAAATGGCCGTAGGTGGCAAAGCTGCCCATGGTTCAATTCAGGTTGATACTCAATGGTTAGGTAAGAAAAGACCGAATCAAGAAAAGCATTATATAATGTTCTACTCATTTATTAATTCAATCAGATAGTATTTGTTAAATTCTTATTCAGTCCAAATATTATAGGCTCTGGGATTAAAAAATTCATTTAGTATATGATCTAGTTTCTTCAGAGTTCAACTCTACATTCTAGTTAGGGAGACAAGGCGTAAGTAAACAAAAATCATGATGAATTCTATGAAAGAAACAAGTAAGAGGCTATTATGGTGAAGCAGAGTTGGGAAGGGCAGCTTTTTATGTGGAAAAACTAATAAAGGTCTTGTTGAGGAGGTGAAGTTGAGACTGATACCTAATAAAAGGTGGAGGTAAGAGTCTTCCAGACAGAACAGCACATACAAAGGCTCTGAGGGAGAAAGAGGCCATGGTATGGTCAAGGATGTAAGGAGAGCACCAATGAGCTGGAGCCTAGATGACGAGAGGACAACTGACTGAAATAGTGTTTGATGGGCAGGCCATATCTTAGGAGTAAGGGCCTAATCAGGACCTAGACTAAAACAAAAGCAGTACAAGATTTGAGAAAAGACAGAATTTTGAGGTTGAGCCCACTGGAGGGCAGGAATGGAAAACACCTTGGGCTCTGTAAAGATTCATGCCTGTAAAATGTAAAACCAAGTATACACAAGTGCAAAGTGATCAGCACTCCTCAGAGGAAGACAATAAAATCTACAGTCTCTCAAACATATTTTTCACAATATTCAACATTAAATCAAGCCAAGGCTAGGTTATATAACAACAGGTTGCAAATTGGTGCCTGCTGATCTTGAACCAACACAGTGTTTGTGTGCTTTTGTTGAAATGTAATGCTTTTAATCCAACATTTTTCGATGAGACGTGGCCTCCATCATCCCTCTCAGGTGCCTTACCCTGGCCAATATTACTGATTGAAGTGTCTATGTATCTAGAGTATGGATTCTGGGGGGTGTGGGAGGAAGGTAGTTGGAATCTTTTTCTGGAAAGGTTATATAGAGTGAGGAGTAAAGAAGACTCAGTCCCAAATCTTAAAGAATATTGATATAGGGAAGGCTAAGATACAATTTGAACCTAGGACATCTTGTCATACCAGAAAGCTATGATAAAAGAATGCTAGGATCCTGTCAAAATGACTCAGAAGAGTTGCTAACTAAAGTGGCTCCCACTAGCCAAATATGACACATTTTGAGCATCTGTAAAGATAAAACTGCATTGGACTATGTTTCAATTCATAAATTCCATAATAATTCAAAAAAAAAAAAACCTCAGTCCTCTTTGGATGATGCTAGGGAACAAGTTATTTTGAAACTGGTAAACGGAAATCATCATTGATCTTGTGTTTCCAATTAGAACTGTATCTTGGGGTTACCAAGCAAATAGTCAATGAAGGAAAGTTTCTCTATGGAAGTAGTCCAGCTAATACATGGCCAGGGTGAAGCAATGATAAAACTAGGACATTGCCATTTTACAGCTATTAATGAAATACAGATCAAGGCAATGATTATTAAAGGCTGAAAGACAATCAGATTTTATGTGCCTCTTGATGGAAATCATAACATTATCTATGAAATAATCTTACCAAAACACTAAACCCAGGAAAACGTTTGTCAGTGGTTATCAACCAGGGCTAATTCTGTGCCCAGGGAACATTTGGCAATTTTTGGAGAAATTATAGTTGGCCCAACAGAAGAACTAGTAGCTCATAGTGGGTAGAGGCTAGGGATGCTGTTAAACATCCTATAAGGCACACAAGCCTGTAAAACTACCCCCCCCAACACACACATACACCCCTATCCACTAACAAAGAACTGTCCTACCCAAATGCCAATAGTGCTCATGCTGAAAAATCCCTCTAGGGAATAGGAAAAGCACAGTGAATACTTTAAGCAATCCATACAAATACCATTAGCAAAATTCAGGCAATAGGAAACTTCACAGGAGTAAGTAATCTATACATTAAAGTAACGCATGAGAAATGTAAAAAAATATAAGCTGTGGATGTTATAGGTTGAATTGTGTCCCCCAAAATAATATGTTGAAGACCTAACCCGAAGTACCTCAGAATGTAATCTTATTTGGATATAGGGTTGTTTCATACGTAATTCATTAAGATGAGGTAATAGTGAAGTAGGGTGTGCCCTTAACCCAATATGACTTGATGTTCTTATGAGAGGAAAAGAGGCATAGTGATAGAGGCACAAAAGGAAAGTTGTGACAACAAAGACGGGGGCTGATGATGTAGCCAAGGAACTTCAAGGATAATAGGCAAAAACCAGAAGCTAAGAGAGCCAAAGAAAGATTCTTCCCTACAGGTTTCAAAAGGAGCATGACCCTGTCCACCCCTTGATTTCAGACTTCTAGCCTCCAGAACAATGAGAATAAATTTCCGTTGCTTTAAGTCAGCTGCTGTACTTTGTTACAGCAGCTCTATGAAGCTAGTACCTTGGACCTTATTTAGATACTGATTTGAATACATGAGTACACACACAAACACATACTCATACATATACCTATCAACAAACTTCAAAAACTGAGTGAATGATTTTAAAAAACTTGCTGTTGACTTTTTTTAGTTGTAAGTTATGTTTAAAAAAGAATTCTTATAATTTCATGACACATACTAAAATATTTGCAAATGAAATGAAATGGTATCTAGGTTTTCTTCAAAATAAACTAGATAAGAGCCGGGGTTATAGTGGGGTTTAGCTATGAAACATGCCTGCTTATGTGTTGAAAATGGGTAATGCCTACATGGACAGACAGACTCTCCTCTCTACTTTCTTAAAAATATATTTGAGATTTTCTTTAATAATTTTAAAGAAAGAGCAAGAGAAACAGCCAAAAAAAAAATTGAGGTGATATCAAAATGCCATTTTCCCTAATCCATGATTATCCTATCAGAGCTAAGCAGTAACTGAAAATAATCTTCACTCATGCCTCCTAAGGATGAGATCTTTTTATAAAATAACACAATCAAGAGGTTGGAGAAGGAATGTCCTGAACCCATCTGAAGTAGGTTTATAAAGATTTAAAAATACCTTGATAGGAATCATTAAACATATTTAAATATGTATTCTGCACCACCTTCTGGAATCTGACTGAATTCATGTCTGGTTCCTAGTAAGACTAGGTCCTTTCTGGTAACAAATTGCTTGAAACTTTTCCAGAACTACCAAAGAATGAGGAAGGAGCACATTAACTATACCACAGTAAATATTGCTGAACTACTGAATGTAATGTAGCAGAGTACTTGGTATAGCACTGAGTTCCTGCTTGCACAATTTAGCATATTACTTAATCTTAAAATAACATTTGACTGGCACATTTACTTAGAACTTCTCTTTCACATATATTATCTCATTTAAACTGCACACTCAGCTTGTGAGTTAAATATTTATTATAACAACAAGTTTTTAAATTAAAAAAGTCAAAAATAAGAATACTGTTTAAATATTACCAGGTATCCTT